GGCGCGTTCAGGAGCAAAACGCGAAATTTTTTTCGAAATTCAAAAGAGCGTTCACGGCGATACTTCGAAATTAGCGAATTTCGATTTTTTTGAGATAATTTTGAGAAATTTCAAAAAAATAGCGAGAAAAATCGGTTTCGCGCGAAATTTACGGTATATTGACATTTTCTTGTGCCAAACGCAGTTTTTTTTTTCTTTTTTTTTTCTTTTTTAGATAATTTTTTTCTTTTATTTTTCAATTTTCATACCGTTCAAAGTTATTGATTTTAGAAATAGTACGAATGAAAGCCTTGTTAATTTTTTGACTGTCTGAACTTAAAAAAAGTTCGATTTTTCTCAAATTTCGAGTTTATCGTGTTTATTTTTTTTTCCAACGGATGTATCAGAGTGTTTGAAGTTGCAGGTCTCTAAACTATGGCGGTTATTGGATTACCGAAAGTGCTAAAGTTGAAAAAAAGGTTAATTTTCATTCAAAAAACTTTTTCGCAGTTATTTTTTTACAATTTTTGATTATTTTCACAAAAAAAAAATTTAGACTCGTTAGGGAGGCACGAGCGGCTCGTGTGAAGGTAACGCAAAATTTTCGTCTCTACAGTCAAGCATAAATCCGTGAATTTCGACGCAACGGTCAAGAAGAAAATGGAAGGTTTTTATCTATACAATTTTCAATAACTGGTTCATTTCATTAAAAGAAAAGTATTGAATTTTTTTCAGCTCATTCGAACAAGACATTGTTGTGGCCAGCCGGATAAATTTGGAATTTACCATGTCTCGATTTTGTCAAATACACAGCTTTTAACTTCTCTTTCAATGATTTTGTTTTGTTTTATTACGCGTTTATTTTCTCTATCATTTGTTCGAATAAAGATGATGAGCATTACCTTCTTGAAAAATTAATGTAAAAAAAAAACAAGCTGCTTAGTTAATCAAATTCAAAACCTAATAACAGAAACTTTTTTGTTATGAGATGTTTCTGAAAGGCAGAAGAAAACAATGAAATTTTTTTATTAGAAAAAGTTCCATAAGGAAAGATCCAAGTTTCACGTGTAGTCTTTCGGCGAGTCCTTCGTAAACCGTTCGTCTAGGTCTGTAAGCAGAAGAAATTTTTTTCCAGAAAGGGAAAAGCTGGTTGAACGGTGGTATGAAAAAACACAAGCAGAAATTCAAACAAAAGTCGCCCTTTTTCCGAATTTTTTTCATATCGCTAGGGAACTTTCCGACGGCCACCTCTCCGACGGATCCCTTTCCGACTTTTTTTCCCTTTATATTTTTCGGTTTATAAAACATCTATCAACATATTTTTTTCCTATTTTTGTGTTTTAAACATGAATAACTTGCCTACTTTATATAGGGATATTTAAAACGAAAAAGTTTATTGAGAAGAAAAATTCGATAAAAAGATTAGTCGGAAAGTTCCCTAGCGATATGAAATAATCGGAAAAGTGGTCGTTCGAATTTTTGCTGATCTTTTTTTCATACCATCGGTTGAACCGTGGTATTCATTTTTCGTTTACAACTGAACAAGACATATTGACAAGACATATTGAAAATGAAAGAAAATAACATCGAAGAATAAGAGAACTCACGAATTTATGCTTGACTGTAGAGACGAAAATTTTGCGTTACCTTCACACGAGCCGCTCGTGCCTCCCTAACGAGTCTAAATTTTTTGTGAAAAATAATCAAAAAAATTGTAAAAAAATAACTGCGAAAAAAAGTTTTTTTGAATGAAAAATTAACCTTTTTTCAACTTTAGCACTTTCGGTAATCCAATAACCGCCATAGTTTAGAGACCTGCAACTTCAAACACTCTGATACATCCGTTGGATAAACACGATAAACTCGAAATTTGAGAAAAAAATCGAACTTTTTTTAAGTTCAGACAGTCAAAAAAATTAACAAGGCTTTCATTCGTACTATTTCTAAAAATCAATAACTTTGAACGGTATGAAAATTGAAAAAAATAAAAAGAAAAAAATTATCTAAAAAAAGAAAAAAGAAAAAACTGCGTTTGGCACAAGAAAAATGTCAATATACCGTAAATTTCGCGCGAAACCGATTTTTCTCGCTATTTTTTTGAAATTTCTCAAAATTATCTCAAAAAAATCGAAATTCGCTAATTTCGAAGTATCGCCGTGAACGCTCTTTTGAATTTCGAAAAAAATTTCGCGTTTTGCTCCTGAACGCGCCATATAAAAACGAGTGAAAAAAACAAAAGAAAAAGACTAAATAGCGATTGTGCGCTCTGTTGTGAACCGATCGGCTGAAAAATTTTTTTTTCATTTTTCAATTTTTTTTCCTTTCTCTTTTTTTCTTTATATCGAGTTTTTTTCTGAATTTTTCTATTTGGAAATCAAAAATTAAATTTTGTCAATTTCCTCGTGTCTTTTTCTACAGTGACTTCCTTGTTATTGAGACAATTGTGACTTGTGAAAATTATCTTTTCGATTGCGTCGGTTTCGTGGAGACGTTTTAGTCAGAAAAACAGTTTATCGATGATAGATAGTGCATTGGTCTATGCATGAATGAAGATAAGAAAGAACGCAGCGAACCAATATGAGGTCCAAAAGGCGTTAGGAACAATAAAAAAGGCGCGGGTCACACTAGAAACTATCTTCCGAGTGCAAAATTTGAACTGGAATAGTTGAAAAATCATATTTTCTTTTACTTTCCTTCAATTTCGAACTAAAACTTTTAACGTTTGAGGTCGTATTATTCTTCTTGAAGCTTTTTCGAGACGGTTCAAACACTAGTTATCCTTATTTTAATGAATGAACCTGTAAAAAATTGAAAATTGGTAGGAATTTTGTATTTTGATTAACTTTTTTCTTGCAGAGAACACACTCGCTACACAATTGAAACTCAATCGCAATTATTTTTAATTGCACTTGAACTTCATTTCTCATCTTTTCTTTTTCCAGGACCAACTCCCCTACCTTTCATTGGAAATCTCGTGACTTTGGGACGATTTGAACCGGGTTATGAAGCGTTCGCCCTGTGGAAAAAGCAATATGGACCAATTTTCACTTTCTGGATGGGTTTGAGAAGAGAAAAAGGCTCAAAATGAAAGGGTATTTTTTGAAGGCGGCCAGCCATTTGTCGTCATTTGCGACTATGAGAAAATGAAGGACACTTTTGTGAAGGACGGCGACGCGTACAGTGGCAAGTTCCACATGCCGGGGGCTATTGAAGTTTATCGAGGTTTTTTTTATACAGAACTTTTCAGGAGATATTTTCTAAATAGCTCGAAAAAAATTGACTTGGAGATTCAGAAGTTGAGTAGAATTGCTTTAAGGAAGGCTTTCAAACTTTGAATCTTTTATTTTTGTTAGAAAAATTAAGATCAATTGTTCAAAAAAATCATTGAATATAAATAACCTCTGGAATTTAGCAGTTTTTCTCCATGAATAAAATGACGCGATTAGATAAAATCTTAATTTTAAGCATACAGTTCAATTTTGATTTTTACGTAGCGAAAAGCTGAAAAAACTTCAAACGGCGAAAACTTTGATCTTTTCTCAAATTTGATGATGTATGGAATATTAAAGGACGTCGGAAGAAAATTTCTTTGTGACGTCTTTTTTCTCATGTTACAACACTCTCTTCATTGACTGACTAATTAAAAAATCCACGAGATTGTGCGCTCCACTGAACACAGCGCACAATAATTTCATTCTTTCAAAAATCACCTCTGTTTTGAATGCGTTTCCGCTGATTTCCAACTTCTAAATCGTTAGAAAAAATTTATCTCCACCCAAAATTTTGAACGAATTCAGTTCCATGAGAACGAATGTTTCAAGAGGTTGAAAACAGCGGCTGCAAATAAAAATTGAAGGAAAAAAGTGTGTGAATCATTGTTGCCTAGGTAATAAGGCAAAAAATGACTTTTTGGAACTCTAATTTATGGTCTAAGGGAAGCCAAGAGAAGGCCTTGACGACCAATTTTATTTTTTGATACGAAGTACACTTTCAACATTCAAAAAAGTTAAACTGGACTTTTGAAGATTCAGAGAAAGACATCTTCATAAAGACTCGGAGCTCGGTATAGGTTATTCACGGCTGGCTTAAACCATCGAAAAAAGGGTCCTGACACGATAAGAAGAGAGACGGTGTCTGGTTGCTGGAGAACGCAGACAGGCCAAGCCCTTAGCGTCCCAAGTTAGCCGTCAACCGACTATAACGAAAACTGGACTTCTGAGCGATTCTAGAGATCACTTAAGAGTTCTGACGCTACTAAAGTGGTCACTAGAAATGCCCCGACGCGATTTACCATTTTTCGAGGAATATATGGCCATAGCTTTCGAAAATCGAAAATTTTCATGCATGTTGTTGAAAGACAAGGACCCTTTTCATTAAAATCTTAGAAAGAAATAGTTTTTTTTTTTAATTTTTGACTCATTTTTACCTTGAACCGATTCGAATCCCAGGAGGCCTCTACGGTCTCGTAGAAGCTGAGGGAGAAACCTGGAAGACCCATCGTCGCTATGTCATCCAACAGTTGCGGGAGTTCGGCGTCGGCAAAAACCTGATGGAATCCAAGATTTTGTTGGAAGTCGAAGCGTTGACCAAATCGTTGAAAGGGTCGGCCAAAGCCGAAACTAACGCTCAGGTTTGTGGGGACTTTCTGTGTCAATGTAAATTCGCTTAAATGAATAATGATTAAATTTCGGAGAGAATGAACTCTGAGCTTGATTAGTCGGTTAAAAAATTTGAAAAAAAATTAGGCCTCATCAAAAACATTTCTAAAATGCAAAGGTTGGACTCGACTTTTTCATTTATTTATTTTGAATTTTCTCGAAAATCGATGATTTTCTAGGATTTTTTGAGCTTTAAAGTAAGACTGGACAAGTTCCAACCGATTGCGTACATATTACAGTTTTCTAAGGAAGGAATCATCTGGCATGATAAAATTAACTATTAGGAATAATCTAGACCATACATGGGATGAGTATGAGTCGCAACAGTCAATTATCCCCCATTTTCTCGTTTTTTTGGCAGGTCCCCTTCCCTTTTTTTCAGGTCCCACCAAGACTATACCATGTATGATCTAGACAAGTTCAATTTTGAAAATAAATAATTTTTGAATTTTTTTACGGCATATCAGTGACCAGAAAATGTCTGTTTAATAGTTGAAATATGAAAAAAGAAAAAAAAAAGATCTTCCTTCAGAAATAAGAACTTTTAGGAGCTTTTCGACGTCGCCGTCGGCAGTGTCATCAATCAATTCCTCTTCGGCTACCGATTTGATGATGTGATTTTGAAAACTAATAAAATCATATTCGAAATTTTCGTTTTTTAGGACAAAATCGAGGAGTTCCGCGAGCTGAAAACGTTGGTTTCGGCTCAAATGAAGACGTTTTCGACGCCTCGCGCCTTCTTTTCTGTGGCTCATCCATGGACCAAGCATACCTTTATTGGGAAGGATATTTGGGGAAGGTAAATGAGGAAAAGTTGGTGACAATTTGAAGTTCAAAAATTGTTGAAAAAAAGTTTAGAGGCTCAAAAAAAAAATCAGAACATTACTTTTGGAACATGAAATAGCTCTACACAAACTCTCACGTGATTTTTAACTTTTTTTCTGTTTTGCCTGCGTCTATTCCATAACCTCACTCTCTAAGCTTTGACTATGCCTGATTAATAAGAGCAAATGCGCTCCACTGATAAAGTATTTTTTGAGCGATGAAAATCATGTCAAGGTGGAATCTGTACAAAATTAGAGTTTGGTGGCAAGAAAACCTGAAAAACTAGATATTTTCATTGTAGAAGATGTTTGGCTTTATTTTCAGTTTTTGGAACGTTTGCGCTCTATGGACAATTTCAAAAAAAAAAACCTTTTTTTTTGCAGCTTTTGAAACAATTTGGAGTGATCCCTATAGGGAGTGCGATAGGAACTCTATAGAGAAAAAAAAATTTTTTGACCACTGTAGAGAATGGAAATTCCTTTGGAGAGGTCCCTATAGGGAGTGCGATAGAGACCATTTGCATTTACCAATAAAGAGTCCGGAAGCTTTAGCGGAATGCTCCGAGAGCACTACAGGGGTCACTACGCTTTCGACCTTCATAGACACCGTAAAAAGGCCATATAGTGGTTCATATAGGGGTAGTGCTGAAATTTCTCAGATTTTTAAGGGTTTTCCGAGCTTTTCTCGGAATTTTCATGACCTGAGGAACTTTGGAGAGGTCCGTGTAAGGAGTGTGATAGGGACCCTTTGAATCTGCCTATAGAGAGACCTAAAGCTTCAGCGGACCGCTCACAGTGCACTAAAGGGGCCACTGAACTTTTGACTTTCTTAGAGACCGTAAAAAGCTCATATAGGGGTCTGTATAAGGACCGCACCAAAACTTCTCAGTTCAGTGGCCCCTTTAGCGCTCTCTGGGCGCTTCTATGAAGCTTTAGGGCTTTCTATATGCAGGCAGGTTTTCCGAGCTTTCATAAATTGTTCAAATTTCAAGCGAAATCTTCCAGAATGGTCCAGTACCGCGACGCGTTCTACGCCTTCTTCTATCGTCAACTCGACGCCCACAAAAAAGAAGTGGACTTTGACTCGGAAGAGAGCAAAGATTACGTCGAAGCCTATCTCAAAGAACAGGCGAAACGTCAAAAAGAGGGCGATAAAGAATCATTCAGGTCGGTAAAGGGTTGTGATATGAGAAGAGAGGTCTGGAAATTGGAAAAGATGCATTTCAGGGGGAAAGTTTCAACTAAAATTTTTCTTTTTAAAGTTCCATGAAAAGTCATAGATTCCTGTGTTGTCTGAAGAATGAAGGAAAAAAAAAGATGGCTTGAATAATGATGCGTAAATTCGATTTTAACTTGAAAAAAATGTTTCGGGATGAGAAAAAGAAGCCTTTGGAATAAAATGTTACGAACAGCTGTAAAGGTTCTTAGAAACCCCCAAAAATTCCCCTTCGATTTTCTCTATTCTCGGGGATTTTCGAGAAGATTTTGGGCTTTTTCATAGCAGAATTATTGTTTTTGTATTTCCTGCAACTATGAGTTCTGATTCCGAAAAATTCTAAAGGTTTCCGGCTTGATTTATATCTCTATAGTGGTCCCTGAAAAACGTATCGAATTTTTCCAGTTGGGATTGGTATCTTTTTCCAAAGTTTTGAAGAAAATTTCACTGTTTTTGAAGTTTACACTTCCCTATAATGACTACTTGGAGATAAAGTTTTGCAGGCTTTATTTATAGGCGGATCGTAAGTTCAAGTATTTTTGTAGATTTTTTCGAATTTTAACTCAACTTCACTTTTTGATGTTTTATTGGGGATTATACATCCCTATAGTGATCACTCGGGCTAGGGTTCTGCAGGCTATATCTATATCTCTATAGTTATCACTAAAACACATCAAAACTTCCAGTATTTTTGTAGCTTCTTTTGAAATTATAAATCAACTTTACTATTTTTGTATTTTCCTTGAAGTGTGTATAGTCCTTTCACCGTTACTTGAAATGTTTTGAGTGTCTGCGTCTCTCTGTTCCCTCACCGGCAAATTCAGAGAAACTTCAAAATAAGAGGGTCGCCGAGAGACAAGGAGGGCGCAGAGAAATCTTTAAGTCATGAAAAACGGACTGTCGTCCCTATTGTGACCACTAAGCATGCTAGGGTTCTTCCGGCGCCATTTGAATACCTAGAGTGGATACTCAAGGATTTTTTCCAGTGACATCCAGTTAGTCAACGTTTTGCTCGACTTGTGGTTTGCGGGTATGGAAACCTCGGCGAACACTCTCACCTGGGCGATTGCCTACACTTTGAATAACCTTGAAACTCAGGTGAAATCCTGAAAAATCTAGTGAGATTTTCGAAAGTTTAGGATAAGCTCCACGAAGAGCTGGACCGTGTTATCGGGTCGGATCGCGATATCTTGATGGCCGACAAAAATGATCTCGTCTATGTCAACGCCTTCATCAATGTGGGTTTGAGGAGAAAAAAAATAATTGTTTGAGCTCTCAAAAATGATCAAAATATTCCTGATTATTGAAAAAAGCGCATTTTTGCAAGTTGAAGAGGCATTCTCACTAGTCAGTACGAGAAAATCGCAAAATTGGATGAGAAATTTTCCGAAAAGAGTAAAGTGATATTGAATTTTTTACAAAGGGAAAAGTTCAGACTTCTGAGAAGTCAAATACTCAACTTTTTTCTCTCAAAATTTAGATTATTCGTGCTCCAAAATGCATAATATACAGTATATAATCTTTGAAAGATTTCAAAAAATGTGAAAAAAAAATAAAGAAAAAAAGCTAGAGATTTTTTTGGATCAGTTTGAATATTGAAATTGCTGTTTAATTTTTTTATAAAAAAAGCTTATTTTTTTATCAAAGTTAAATTTCAAGGCTTGAAGAATCTAAAAACGCATATAGAAGTTTGAAAAAAATACCAAGAAAAAAACGTTTTTTGATTATTTTTTTCTATTTTTTTCTGCCTTTTTTTGTGAACAGTTTTTGATTTTCCGGGTTCAGAACTTGGAAAATACTGAAAAAAATTGCCTCTGAGAGCTTCAAAAAGACTTACGAAAAAAAGTCGAAAAAAAGCGATTTCCTAGAAAAAGTCGAAGAACTGGCAAATAAAAATAATACAAAAAATATTTTTTTAGTCTCTCAGATAGGTTTTCGAAAAGCTTATTATTGTTATTGAGAATTAAAAAAATTGATAATTGTTTTTTAAAAGAAAGAACACTTTCTTTTTGTTCAATACCTTGAAAAAAACCCTCAAAAAAATTTTTTTGGTTTTGATAGATTTATGATCAAATTTTTTTGGACCAAACAACACAGTTTTTGTTCAATATCTTGAAAAAAAATTTAGTTTTCGAAAAAATATCATGAAAAATTTGTCAGGAAGTGCAAAGAGTTGCCAATCTGCTGCCAATGAACCTGTTCCACAACTTGACTCGTCCCGTGGAACTGGAAGGTTACCAATTACCGGCCGATACCGGTGTCCTCGCGCAGATCAGTACTGTTCTCTATGATGAGAAGGTTCCATTGGAAATCTGAAGGATTTTGAGAAAAATTGACTTTTAGCTCTTCCCCGAACCGTACAAATTTGACCCGTCGAGGTTTATCGACGAGAAGGGACAGTTGAAAAAGGTGAATTTTTTGGGTTTTCAGGGAGTTATTTTTGAGAAAAGATTTGATTTTTTAAAGAAATTAAAGTTGCAAGAGCAGAGTTTGGAGTAGGAATTTTAAATATTTTTCTATCTTTTTTTTTGTTGCTTTTTTCTTCCTCATGAAAATTCTAACAGACGCGAAATTTTGAGGCGATTTTCTAGAAAATGGTTAGTTTCTTGAATATTATCTTGATTTTTGAATTATTCGAGAAAACTGAAAAAAATTTTTAGTGTGTTAGAAAAACTTAGAATACGCTTCTTTTTTCAAAATGATGATTCTTTTCGTTCTTTTGTTCCAAAAAATGTTTGTTTCTCTGTTTTTTTTTTTCGGACCATAGAAACTGCTATTCTCATGAATTTCAACGACATCATGACATTAAAAAACCAGTTTTTAATTGTTCCGGGCACCTATTCTCGATGATTTTTGGGCCAAAAAAATTGACTTTCTTTCGAATTTGAGCTTTTGGCAGGGTAAGATTAAAATTGTAGAAAAAGTTGGCGAGCTTAGAAAATTTGGGGCATAGACTTGTTAAAGTTAGGAGCTTCAGAGTGGTCACTGTAGGAGTTAGGGAAAAGGCCATAAAGTGGAAAAAATACTGCTCCCTGGAGGGTTAAAATTGTGGTGGTCTCTTGAGCTCAGACTCCTGTGCTTCTAAAGTGGTCCTTGTAGTCCTTTTTAATTTTTTGTTCTGATTTGGAAGTTGAAAAGACGTATTGAAGACGTATAAGGAGCACTAAAATGCTCCCCTAGGGTGGCCACTTTTTCAATCTAGTTCACACTATAGAGGGGAGTAAGTGGTCCCTTCAGAGGAACCTACAAAAGTCCTTAAGGTTGTCACTATAGGGATCACTCTGAAGCACCTAGAAAAATTTTAGCTCTGACTCCGATGCCCTTAAAGTGGTCCTTATAGTGGTGTTTCGGTTTTCATTTCGATTAAAAAAGCCGCTAGGGTTCCCACTATGAGGACTACTCTGAAATTCCCTAGAAAAATCTGAGCTACAACTCCTATGTTCCTAAAGTGATCCCTATAGTGATATTTCAATTTTCGTTTTGATTTTGGAAGTTGAATAGGCTTATTGAAGACGTATAGGGGCCATTAAAGTGCTCCCCTAAGATGGCTTCTGCAAACTTTAGTGAACCTTATAGAGGGAAGTAAGATGGTCTTTTTAGGGGAACCTACGAAAGTCCTCAAGGCTGTCCCTATCACTTTAAAGTCCCTAAGAAATTTTTTTTTTAAATCGACTTCTGGTGAATAAGGAAGTTTTATTCGACAAAAAAAGAGTTTTGTTAAATTTCAGGTCGACGAGCTGATCCCATTCTCGATCGGAAAACGGCAATGTCTCGGAGAAGGCCTCGCCAGAATGGAACTTTTCCTCTTCATCGCAAACCTTTTCAATAGGTTCAAGGTGATATAAATACAGGGAAACCGGAAAAAAGAATGACTAATTGCAGATCTCGCCTGGAAAAGCGGGCAAACCGTCCCTGCACAAGAGCTTCGGCATCACCATGCAACCCATCGAATTCTCATGCGTTTTTGAATCTCGCCATTGATTCGGCATTATTTTTTTGCATATGACAGTTATTTTGTGTTGAAATATTGTGAATAAAGCAACGATTTTGTTGAATTTTGGGATTTTTTGAAAGTTTCGCGAAGAATCTTGGAGAATATCTTTTTTTTTTTAATAGGTTGGAATTTGTAAAAAAAATTTTTCATTTGTTAGCTTGATTTTGAGCTCATACTGACCTCTTCATTCAGGTTAATAGTTGTATAATTCTTCAAAAAAAGCTCAAAGTATGTTTAAAAATAAAAAGTTGATTATCCGTTGAGCATAAAAGCTCCAAACTGAGTGGCTCAAGAACTTTTAGTTGGGTTTTTCTAAAAAGAAGCTCTGTAAAAATCATATCGGGCTATTTTTGAATGGTTTTAGCGGTAACTCCTATCGAGAAAAAGAAAGTATTGGTCGTTCAGTTTTTTGATAAGAAAAATGACTACAACTCACATTTTTACGTCAAATTTGAGTGGATTAGGAGTTTCTTTGAAGAAAAAAATCTGTCTTTATATAAATTTTTAATTTTTGAGAATGAACAGATATTCTTTTGTTTTTGAGAGAAGGTATCAAAAAAAGTAATTTTTTTCAAGGATAATTATCTTTTTTTCTGAATTTCAAGAAATTAGGAACACATTCTACCGTTCTTCGTATTGAGTTGCAACAAAAAAATGAGTATATCTCCATCAAGGTCGGCTTGAGCCATCAAAAAAAGGTACTGACAAGAAAAAAAAAAGTATTTAAAGGCGCAAGCCGCGCTTAATGCCGTGTTCAAAGTGATTCCGCGAACTTCAAAATAGCCGTCAGAGAAAGAGAAAGATAACTAAATTTTGGAGGGTCAGAGACCATTTTGCATTTCGCGGAAATTACTTTGAACACGGCATAAAACTTCGAGTTTTCGAAGAAAGTAGATTTTTTTAAGAATCAATCAAACTTTCTGCATTTACCTTCCAAGGTCACATTTTAAAAAGGGTCAAACAAACAGATTCTTTTTGATTTTCTCAAACTCCACTCTAGGAGTACCCTTATCCAAATAATATATATTTACCTTCACATCATACTTCTATCAAAAATTGGCCTTTTTTTCTTGAATATCACATTGTGCAATAAGTTTCGGCCGACGAGAGCAGAAATCACATTTTTCGTTGTTTCCCCTGGCGTTTCTCAAATAAATAGCGCCGTCTCGCTTCGATTTTTCGTCCCGCCCTGTGTTTATTTCAAGTCTTCTTCGACTCTTTTTCAAGTTCTCAACAACAAAATGATCGCCTTGATTCTCATTTCCTCCTTCATTATCCTTCTTTTCCACAATTTCTACTGGAAACGCAGGAATCTCCCGCCAGGTTCGGAGCGAATTTTGTTTGGGAAAAATCGTCTAGGGAATAGGAAAAAGCAGTATTTTAGTTGAATATGAAGAAGAATGGCTTTTTGTTAGAATTATTTAAATTTGAGTCGAAAAAAATTCCTAGTTTTGAACGAAAAGTTTCACAGATTGTCGACTTTTTGTAAACTGTGCGTCATAATTATTGAAACGATCTCGATTTTCCATGATTTCCGACGATTTTCAAAATTGAAATGTTCTATCTAGTACTTTCCGAAAAAAATTAAAGCATAAGACAACTGTTAAAAAAATTATTTTTAACTGAAAAAAACGATACTTTTGCGTCATAATTATTGCAACAGCCTTCTCTAACACTTTCAACGATTTATGATGATCTTTTTAAAAAAACGGTTTTCGAGTGTTTTTTTGAGTTGAAAAACTTGTTTGAAATAGCAAAGATTTCAGAAACGTTTATCAATAACCCAGTAAGAAAAAGGAATTTTTCGACTTTGACAACAGTTCTAGTAAGAAAAAAATGTTGAGAAAAAAACCATTTTTTTATTTTATTTTTTTATCCAAAAAAACTCAAAAGTACAAATTTATAATATAACTGTTAGTTAGGCTCGGAAAAATTCGTTCAAAACTGAATAAATCTCTGAGAAATCGCCCCTAGAGTCTAGGAAATGTTGATTTCGATCCTGTTTACACTTTTTCACGTGAATCGCTTTTTTTCGACGCAGTCAAAGGACAAAAATCAAACGGCCTGATAAGGGAAACTTTTTAGCTGATAATGGAGAGAAGGATAGAGATAAAAAAATAATACTTGAAAGACTTGAAGTATTAGAGTCGTTTGAAAAATTAGTCTTTAGATCTGGGATTCGAACATGGGCACTGCGAGTTTTCATAGCGAGTTTATATGCATTATAATAAATAGAAAATTTTCAATTTTAACGGGTCTTTTTGGGGAAAAAACCTAATTTTCGTGTGAAATAAAGGTTCATTGACAATTTCCCTTCCCAAATTTTCGGAAAACCATTTTTGATTAGCTTTAGCTATAAAGAAGTTGATGGTTTTTCACTGAGAAATGGAATTTTCAACATTGTCTAAAGTTAGTTTTTTTCAAAAAGTTTTTTTAAAAAAATATACTTGTTATATATTGCAACTAAATTATAATATTTTCAAAAAAACTAAATTTTCAACTGAGAAACAAGAATTTTATATTTCAAGGACCGACACCCGTTCCATTGCTCGGGAACACCTTACAATTATTGCTGTACAAAAAAACGGAGAAGCTCCATACGACAAATGGACCCGGGAATATGGACAGATCTACACATTTTGGCTGGGTTAGTTTTCAGTGGAAAAAAACCCAATGTGAAAAAAATGGGAATAAAAATAGGATAGAAATTTGCTTAAAAAAATAGGTTGAAAATGTTGAAATTTTTGGGTTTTACTTAAAAAAATAAAAAAAGGATCCTCACTTTTTCATTCAACTTTTCTCGGTTTTAATTATTTCTGTCTAAAGTTTGATTTTTTTCTATTTTAAGGTCCATGGAATTTTTTTCGCGGGTTTTTTTAAAGATTTTTTTCGAAATAAAGAGCTTTGAGTGTATCCAGTTATCAACCATTGTTTTCCAGTGTTTGAAAAAAATCGCCGGAAATAATTAGAATTTGGGTGCTCTATCGATAATGCAACATTATTCGAAGCTTCAAAAAGGTGAAAAAAAGATTATTATTCAAAAAAATATTTTTTTAATTCACTCCTTCTTACTCTTTTTCTCTAGTTGTAAGGTCGAAAAAGCCGGATTTTCAATTTTTTACTTTAAGAATGCCTAAGTTACGTTGATTTTCTGGTTATCTTGGATTAACATAGGCAAAGTCGGAAGGGTCCATAGAAAAGTTCCATTTTTGGTGCCTTTTTGCGCCATTTAATCGGCTCTTATGCACCATTTTTTCTGCCTCTCCCTTTTCCACAATTTCTTGAACCTTTAAAATCCAAGAAAGAATGTAAGGCTCGATAAATGAACCTTTTTGGACCCTTTCAGTGGCCTTTTTTGAGCCTTTCTGCGGCCTTTTTGCGGTCTTTCTAAGGCCTTTTTTGAGCCTCTCCCTTCTAGCGGCCATTACCAACCATTCCAGATTTTTCCCGAGAAGATAGTTGAAAATGATCCGAAAAACTTCAGGTCACCAGCCATTTGTGTTGATAAACACGCTGAAGAAGTTGAATGAGACTTTCGTCCAAGACGGCGACTCCTACCTCGACAAACTGGTCGCCCACCACTTTGTCAAGCTTTTCAGAGGTTTTCAAAGTCTCAAGAATCATGGGGAATCGATCTTCAGGAGGTCCCTATGGGATCATCGACGCCGTCGGTGATAATTGGAGGGAACATCGCAGATTCGCTCTGACGCAAATGAGAGATTTCGGTGTTGGGAAGAATTTGATGGAGGAAAAGGTGGGAAATTATTATAGTCTATCCGCCGCGACTTGAGACGTGTCTGTGTCTCTCTGTTTCCTTACCGGCGAGGTCAGAGAAAAAGGAAAATAGCGCGTCAACCTGACATGGGAGGTCATTTTGGCGTAGGGTTCAGAATTTTTTCTAAATTTGTTCAAACAATCTTTGATAGACTGGGAATCGATCCCCCATAGTCGCTACCTGCACAAACTTTTTGTTTTGGTGATATGATTTTTCTAAGTTTTTATCCTCAACCATCTGACGCCGTTTGGAAGGAATGTGGCCGCGCCACCAACCACTGCATGGCAGCTAGGAGCGTGGTGCAGTGGTTAGCGTGTTAGCCTGCGGAGCCTATTATGAAGGTTCAAATCCTTTTGCCGCTAACTTTTTTTGCCATTATTTTTTTTTAAGAGTTTGATGAGAATATTGAAATTTCATGAGTAAAACCTTTCCAAATAAGTTCGATAGCTATTTTCTTTCTAAAATCGCTTTTTTATGGACAATAGTTATGGAAACTTTCTGAAGTTGTGGCGGACTTCACATCACCAGAGAATTTTTTTCCCAAAAATCGTTTTGCTCGAAAGATTTTTTTAGATTCCTGAAAAATTTGAAAAAAATCTGGATTAGGATGGAAATAGGGTTTGGAAATTTTTCAATAAAACTCGGATGACAGGTAAGTTTTTCATATTCTGTAAAGATGTTTCTTCAGAAGCAAGGCAGAAATTGGCTATTGAAATATTGAAAAAGCCACTGTTATTTATTACAACCAAGACATGCGAAGATCTTCGATTAAGGTTCAGCGCTTTTCTGAAACATTTTTTTCGCTGATTTTCAAAAATAGTCTCTGATGATGTAGAGTCTGCCACAACTTTAGAAATTTTTTATAATTTCGTTCATTAAAAAAAAAAGCGATTTTAGAAAGAAAATAGCTATCGAACTTATTTGGAAAGGTTTTACTCATGAAATTTTAATATTCTCATCAGAATTCTCTAAAAAAATAATGGCAAAAAAGTTAGCGGCAAAAGGATCTGAACCTTCATAATAGGCTCCGCAGGCTAACACGCTAACCACTGCACCACGCTCCTAGCTGCCATGCAGTGGTTGGTGGCGCGGTCACATTCCTTCCAAACGGTGTCACATGGTTAAGGATAAAATCTTTGAAAAATCATTTTTTCCAAAACAAAAAGTTTGTGCAGATAGCGACTATGGGGGATCGATTCCCAGTCCATCAAAGATTGTTTGAGCGAATTTAGAAAAAATTCTGAACCCTACGCTAAAATGACCTCCCATGTGAGAGGGTCGTCGAGAGACGAGGAGGGCGCAGAGAAAAACAGTAGTTTTAAGCGAAAGACTTTACAATGACGTCATTCGGAAAAGCTCTGTGGATGGCTCACGATCTGATTGGTTTATCAAATTTTTTAAAATGCAAAACTTTAAAGAAAACGTATGGATTCCTTAGTTCTACGGGGCAATTTTCGAAAGAACTACAAAATCAAAAATCAAAGAAAAAAGGAATTTTGAAGTGATTCAAAGTAAAAAAGCAGTTTCAGATCCTCTTGTCGATCAACGACACGTTCAAAACTGTCGACAAGAATTTGGGCGTCGAAGTCACTCTTAAGGTTTTTTTACTCACATCCCTGTTTCAGCTTGAACAAATAGTAAAAAAAATGTTTTTTTTTATAATTCCGAAGCTAGCTGGAAAACTTCAAAAGTTTTATTTTTTTCAAGCTTTTCCTATTTTCTTGTCCAATTTGAAGAATTTTTCCAAATTCCCATTTTTTTTTCAAGGACTACTGGATCGTCATTGTCGGCAGTGTGATCAATCAATTTTTGTTTGGATACGGTTTTGATGAGGTTTTTTTAGATAAAGGAAATTCAATGATTTTTGATTTTTAGGAACGCGCTCATGAAATAAAATACGTCCAAAAATTGATGGACGAACAGACGAAACTGTTCGCCAATGTCTCCTCCATCATACAAATGTTCCTGCCCGAGTTTTGTCGGCATATTTTGGGAAAATATTACGTCATTGACCGGTGAGGATTTATCAATGGTTTTCCGGAAGAATTGAAGATTTCGACTCATTTTTGCTGGAAAAATTTCCCATTTCTACATAGAAATCAAGCTGTTTTGTTGCTTTTTTTCAAGTTATTTAATTATTTCTCGATGAATCGAGAACAGTAACAGTGAGAGCCATAGAAAAATAATGAGAGCTCATTAAAAAAATTTGATTTTTTTATTTTTTTATTTATTTTTGTCTTTAAAGGTTTTTTTATAAATTTTCGGGTTCATATGGACTGAAAAAAATAGTAGGAACAATATTTTTTTCTTATTTTAAGCAAGATTATAAAGATATTAAGACAGGTAAATCAAGATTAACGTCTTAGAAAAAAATCGATCTTTTCGTGATTTTTCAATTTTTTTGAAAAAAATCTAATTTTTTTCTTTAAAAAAATTGTCAATGGGACCAAAGAAGGCAACAAAAAAAGTGGTTATAATTCGAAAATGTTCACAAAAAAAGGCGATCCAAACAATTTTTTTCCGATGAGAAATTCATAAAAATGATTATTTTTTTCACAAAAAAATACCAAATCATCATATTTCCAGAATAATATCGATTTTTGTACAGAATGATGGTTTATCGCGACAAGTTCTTCGACATTTTCAAGCGTCAAATCAAAGAACATCGAGAAACGATCGATTGGGATCAGGAGGACAATCGGGACTACATGGACGCTTACTTAAGGGAGCAGAAAAAACGGGTTGAAGCTGGCGACGAAGAGTCTTTCTGGTGAATGAATGGGGGAAGTTTAGGATGGAAATTCATGCTTTTCGTTGATTTTTACAACAGAAATCTTATCAAAGCAAGTTTTCTTTCATGTAAAAATCGTAAAAAAAAAAAGCGTTTTCTTGCTCTTTTCATCAAAAATTTGGCGCTTTTTATATGAAAAAAAAAAGAAGAATATTAGATAAAATGGTAATTAACCTCAATAGAAAAGTCCTTGAAAGATTGGTTTTTGGAAAAGTTTTTAAACTAAAAATTTCAATTTTTTTCGACATATTTTTTTATGGGATCAATTGACTCAAAAAAATAGCGAGTTTAATAAAAAAATTACTTTAAAGTAGGACGTATTTTTGAAAAAAACTGAAAAATTTGGAACGGAGTCTTTTTTTGCCGCTAAAAGCTGGATTTTCCAGAAGTTCAATATGATTTTCAGTGAACTGCAAAAATGATTACAGCTGGTTTTCCCGAAATATATATATTCTGAATCCGCATTTTTTTCAATTTTTACAGTAGAATGTACATTTTGGGAAACCAGATCTTGAAAAAAAAATTTTTTCCGCCGAAAAATTGAACTTTTACGAACTTTACCATGACTTTCAGTGAATTGAAACTGAATCGCAAATGTCTTTTCGAAAAATTGAATCAATATTTTTGAAGCTTTTACCTATTTTACAGTAGGACGTACACCTGGTAAAACATTAAGAAAATTTTGTGAAAAAATTTTTTTTTTCCCAACAAAAGTTAGAGTTTTCAGAAGTTTACCATGATTTCAAGAGTATCGCAGTTGATTTTTACGAAATATTGATTCAATATTTTTTCATTTCGTTCTTTCAAAAATTTTACAGTAGGACGTAGATTTAAAAGAGACTAAATATCTTGTGAAAAAAAAAGTTTCTCTACGAAAAATTTGATTTTTATGGAACTGTACCATGGATTTCAGTGAACTGCAACTGATCAACGTTTGCTTCGATCTTTTCTTGGCCGGACTCGACACCACGACCACAACTCTCACTTGGGGAATCGTCTACGCTTTAAACCATCCGGAGGCCATGGTAGATAGGCATTTTCGGAAACTGAATTTATCAGGAAAAAAGATAATAATGTAGAGACATTCTGAAGTTTTTTGGGTGCCAGTCCATTCTAGATATTTTGAGCATGATTTCAAGATTTTTCCCTTGGGCCTTTTTAGAACTTTCGGCTTACTGTATCGTCAGAAATGATACGAACTTGGGTGACAACTTTCGCATTCTGCATGACAGTTTTCGAAGATGCGTTTTTTTTTTGTCAACTGAAACTTCATCAGAGTGTTGAAAATAACAGTCATCACTACTCCAGAAAGTATCAGAAATATTGAATTCCTTATAAGAAAGTTTTGACCGACACTCGGCTTTTTTTGTGTTTTTTTCTGACGGTACTGTATATGTGAGAGATTCTTTTTTTCAAACCAGAAACGAGAATATTCTGATATAGTCCTATAAAACCAGGAAACGTTCAATCATCCATCACCCAATAACATTATGCGACAAGAAAGTTGGAACTTGAAATTTCATTTTTTTTTTTTTTGAACTTATTGAGCCCTGAAAAGGTTACCTGACCATTGATGAACATTAAAATGGCTTTTTAAAAAAGGACCTGTTTGATAAAATCACTGGATTATTTTCAAAGGCCAATAAAACTCTGAATTTCCATAGAAATCGCTACAAACCTAATTTTCCACGGTCGAACGAATCTTCAAAAAAATACGTTTCAACTCTAGCTCATAAGATTAAAGTTTTATAATGAAATATTTCAAACGGAATCAGTCTTTGTTAGAATCAATTTGAAACCGAAAACTGATTCTCTTCGAGAACTTTTTCGAATGTCAACTAAGTTTTTGAACAGAATAAAATCAAAAGTTCGGTTTTTCAAGTTTTTATTTTAAAAAGCCAAAGAAAAAAAGATTTATATTTTGTTTTTTTCCTTTTTTTTCGAGAGTTTTGACGACACTTCTAGAATATCAATTTTAGGTACGACTCGTTGAAAATTAGAATTTAAAAAAATATAAGAAGAATAGGGGGTACAAAAGAAAATATGGATTTCTTTACCACAAGCTAAAAAAACAAGATTCCAGAGAAAGTAATAGGAAATTCCGCAAAAAAATTTCGAAATTTGATGTTCAACCAACTGAACCTTAACCGAGACTCCAAATCTCTTTTCGGATATCTCGAAAATCATTACATTCTCAGAAAAAGATGCAAGATGAGCTGGACCAGATCGTCGGCCGCGGGAATCAAGTCACGATGGAGCACAAAAGTCAGCTTCCCTACGTCAACGCTTTTATCAACGTACTTTTCCCAAAATAACGGTTTTCAAATAGTTTCGGCTTGAAGGAAACCCATAGGACGGGAAACATCATCGCTTTGAATGTCCTTCACACTTTGAGTCGTGACGTCACGATCGATGGCTACGACTTGAAGAAAGGGACCGGGGTCGTTGCTCAGATTAGCACCGTTATGAAGGACCCCAAGGTGGGTTTGACCGAATATGGAATGGCTCAGAGCTTAGCGGAGGCGTTGAGATTTCAAGTAAATTCAGGAACTTGAAAGAAGGAAAAACTGTTTTTCATTGAAACGGAAGAATACAAAAATAAATGTTTAAGATCTTTTCAGGCCATTTTTTTTGAAAGGCCGCATTTGGAATGGCTCAGAAGAGCTCAAACAAGACGAAACTTTTTAAAAAAATTTATGAAGTTTTAGAAAATCTAGAGTGGTCCCTATAGGGGGCAATCCTTAAGGGCTATTGAAGATGTCCCTCTAGAGAACACTTTAGCTTCCCTATAGGGGCTACTAAAGATTTAAAAAGTGACAACTATAGGAGAAATGCTAGTTGATTATTGTTATGAACTCCACATAATTTTTACCCCTACAGGGGGTTCTTTTTAGCTTAACCACTATAGGGACCACTATGGCGTTCATAAAGCTAAATTAATGTCTGATCTAATATTTTACAATCCAACTAAGTCCTTCCAAAGCCTATTTTGTTTGGGAATATTTTTGGGCTTCTTTAAAGTCTCTCATCATTTCTAATACCAACTTTCAATGTGGGTTTATCCAAACGAAATCTAGAAGCATAAAAATAAAAAAGCGTCAAAAAGGTCATTTTTCACTGGAGCCTGACGTTTTGGAAGAAAGGAAAAATCTCAAAATTTGTTAGCTCGTAGCCCTCCATCTTTATGAATTATGAAACTTATAGTTTGGACCTTTGATGCCCAAATTGACCACTACAGAAAAAAAATTTTGAGACCCTAAAAAAATTAAAGTTCTAACATGACCCCTGCGTGCGGCGGCAGGCTTAGTCGACATTGTTTAAAATCGTTTTTTACGCATATGAATTACAATAGAAACTTTTTTCATTGGTTTCATCTATCTATAGTGCATGTTAGTCTGGCTCAAAAAGTTTCAACGAAATCCATTGTGTCTGCACAAATTTACGTTAACTTTTATATGCGACAATACTTTTGGGCCACCCTGTATCAATTTATTCGATATCGTTTCCAGGCCTTCCCTGAACCTCATCGCTTCAACCCGGATCGATTCATCGACGAGAACGGGAAGTTGAAAAAGGTATATTCACCTTCAAAAAAAGGCTGCATTGAAAATTATCTCAGATCGAAGAATTGATCCCATTTTCGATTGGAAAACGGCAATGTGTTGGCGAAAGTCTGGCCCGGATGCAGATCTACCTGATCATTGCCAACTTTTTCAACTTTTACAATGTAATCTATCAATCACGGTTACTTTGACAAATTGTAAACTTCCAGGTGTTCCCATCGAAATCCGGCCTTCCTTCGATGCACAGGACCGAAGATTTCGCAGCGCGGCCCCGAGATTTCACCTGTATTTTGGAAAAACGTACCTGATAAATTGATATTCACAATATTCTGAATGAAATCATAATTATCATTGATAAATCTCAGCTTTAAATTTTTTCTTATGCATTTTTCCCCCTATGAGTCTCTGTGTTGCCTATTCCATTTATAAAAAAATTTGATGAATTTTTTTAACAAGTTGAAATAATCATTAATCGATACAACATCAAAAAGCCGATCAAGTTTGTCTATTCCAATTGCTGATAACTTATCAGTGCATTGAATTTCACGCTGAGACAAGTCTGAAGCATTTGGATGGAGCTTGATCTTCTGATAGCTTGTTTCATTCGGAAGCTGACGTCAAGACGAATCGAATAATATAATTAGATGAACTGTAGCTGCTCTGGGAACCGAGATATGAGCCTTCGAAAGTTTTTTAAAAATTAATTTGCGCGTCGGATAAAATGCCTTGGCTGAGATTGCGCGTCGGGTCAAGTGCCTGTCTGAGGCTCTCATCGGTGTGATTTCCTCGCGAAAAAGGAAAAGCTCAAAGATTTTCTCGACTTTTTGAAGTTTTTTCTAGTGCAATCGATAGAGCAGCTTCTATATATTACTGTTATCATATCCTTTTGCACGAAAAGCTTAAGATTGAGTAAAAACGAGGGCTGAAAAAATCGACTTTTAAAGCTTCATAACTCCGTTCTTTGACGAGTTATAGAGAAGCTGATTATATCGATCGATGCGTCTCAGCGTCAGCTCTCGGATGATGAAAGTTATCACAAGATCAAGCTTCATCCAAAAGCTTCAAGCTTGCCTCAGATTAATATCGGTCAAAAAGACATCAATCGACGCAGAATAATGTCTCGTGTTCAACATACAAGTGACACAGTTCACGAACACATGGTAGTCAAAACAGAGCCTCTTAGAGTTGGACATTTTTGAGACTTTGAAAAATCGTAACTTCACTCCTAGGAACTTAGGAACTTAGAGAACTAACTTTTCCTGATCTCCTTGATCTCCTCTATCGATTGATACCAGATTTGATCAGTTTTGAAATTTTTGATCTCTAAGTTTGATCGCCTATAACTATATTCCTATTTGACCTACGGAGGTCAAACCTGGTCTCAGGTTATTTTTTCGTCGAGATCTATCGATTGATATACATTTCGTCCGAATCGGCTTCCATGACCTCAGAAGCTCGAAAAAATCTGAAGGGGTTGTAGACTGTACTTTTTTCGATTTTTCCGAAAATCAAAGTTTTCCAGATAATCATATCAATCGATAGGGAATGACGTCAGAAGTTCAAAAAACCAGTTGAAAAAGTCCCTAGTCTTCTAGAAAAAAAGATATGATTTTTCAAAGATTATTATCCATCATAACTCGATTCTTAGAAGATTAGGAACTTGGAGACCTAGTTTTTCTTGATCCTTGTAATCTCCCCTATCGATTGATACCAGATTTGATCAGTTTTGAAATTTTTGATCTCTAAGTTTGATCGCCTATAACTATATTCCTATTTGACCTACGGAGGTCAAACCTGGTCTCAGGTTATTTTTCCGTCGAGATCTATCGATTGATATACATTTCGTCCGGATCGGCTTCCATGACCTCAGAAGCTCGAAAAAATCTGAAGGGGTTAGACTGTACTTTTTTCGATTTTCCGGAAAATCAAAGTTTTCCAGATTATCACATCAATCGATAGGAAATGACGTCAGAAGTTCGAAAAACCAGTTCAAAAAGTCCCTGGTCTTCTAGAAAAAAAGATATGATTTTTCAAAGTTTATTATTGATCGTAGCTTGACACCTAGGAACTTAGGATTCAGTGTGATTCAATTAATCGATACGTCTCATTATCAGATTTCCGGTGATATAAGTTATCAACTGATTAAGCTGCATCCAAAAGCTTCAGACTCACCTCAGCTCAAAAGCTTGGCATTCTGATAAGTTATCCGTTAACGAAATACAAGAGTTTGTCCGTCTTTGAATGCACTATCGATCGGTTATCATTCAAGCTGCTTGAAGGAAAAGCTGAGATGTAAGCTGGAAAGGTGTGTGACATCATTCAAAGTGATGAAAACTCTTGGAGTCTCATATCATTAGAAAGCTGATGATAAGACGAACTGATTGATATAATCAGTTTCTCTGTAACTTTGAAATGAACAAAACTATGAAGCTTCAAAATCAAAAAGGTGCGTTTTTTTGGTCTATTATATGATCAAAATTTTGAGCTTTTTCTTCGAAAGTGATATGATAACATTACTATATAGAAGCTGCTCTATCGATTGCACTAGAAAAAACTTCAAAAAGTCAAGAAAAATTTTGAGCTTTTCCTTTTTTGCGAGAAAACCACACTGATGAGAGCCTCAGACAGGCCCCTGACCCGGCGCGCAATCTCAGCCAAGGCATTTTATCTGACGCGCAAATTTATTTTTTATAAAATCTTTGACGGCTTATATCTCGGCTCTCAGAGCAGCTACAGATTTTTTAATGATATCATTCGGTTCGTCTTGATCTCAGCTTCCGAATCAATCAAGCCTTCGACTGATTGAGCTTCACCTGAAAGTGCCGAATTTTTAATTTTGCACAACTTTGATCAGTAATTTTTTTAAAAATTTTTTTAAATATTTATTGTAATGATCAACGGTTAGCGTGAAGTCTCAAAAAAGTGCACAATTATGCGAAATAAAATTAGTAAGCTCTTTCGAATTAGTAGGCAAATCGAGGGCGAGTAAATAAAAATCTAAATGATTATGATGTCTCCTAGAAAGACGTCAAACGAATCGGAACATTTTGTGAAAAAATGGGAAAGATGCGGCAGCAGAAATTATAGTTCATTCACCGATTTTTTTTTTCGAAAAATAGACCCTGAATGAACAATCAAGTCATCAATCTTCATCTAAGCCAAAAAAAGTTCAGGACCATTTTTGGGCATTCCCTATGCTCCTTTAAAGACGCAAGCCATCGGTGAATGGACTATAACAAAACCCGACAAATTTTTGAAAAAAAGTTATAGGGATAGGACCCTTATTCCAGTCACAGATTCATATTCATAGTTCCTAACAAACAACGTAGAAAAGAGCTAATTAGTGAAAGAGATCAAAAAACGGGGGGCGAAAAATGGGAGTTTCTCAATATGGGGATATATCACAGAACGTATTTATAGTTATGTATAGGAAAGATGAGAGAAATAACAAATTAACAAGGTCAAAAGCTGAAGAAGAATCGGACCCAAGAGGCGGCCATCGGGAAGAAAAGAAGGACGTAGTAGGGTTGTCTGGGCGAGCCCGAGACTTCTGTTGATTGCTGCTGAAATTCAATCGTTAATTGAATAATTAGTCTTCTCATTTTTTTTTAAAGAAACTTATATATTAAATTCACAGGTATCGTAGCGAAGCCGCAAAAAGACGATGTGAGATGGTTATTACTACTTTTTTGGATAAGAGAAGAAAAAAAAACTTTGCAAAATTTTTTACCTTGGAATCGCCGTCTTCAACCTTGTTCTCGGACAAGTTGGGCCTCTGGTCGACGTCTTTATTTTGCGGATGTTTGTTCGTCGATTCCTTCTCGCCATCGGTGTCCTTGTAGTCTTCGAAGTTCACCGGCACCATGTCTGGAAAAGGTTCACATTCAGAAAACTCTTGGAAATCGCTTCATTGATTAATAAAGTTCATTATAATCCTTTTATTATTTTTTTTCACTGACTTTTATTCGAGTTTGAATCATGACAATAACCCAATTCATCCCGTATTGTGAAAACCCCTGAAATTGCATTACCTATCGATTGATACACAGATAAAAAAATCTACCTACAGTAACCTGGCTACAGTAAAAGGAAACGGCTAAAAAATTTGCGTCCGCATTTTTATTCAACACTATTAGACTAGATCGAGTTTCAGACAAAAGAAAAAAGTATTAACAAATCCTACAAAAAAAGGTCACCACTTCCTCGTTGCCTTACAGCTCAAGTTCCATAGAACTCTTTCCTTACATTAAACTTGAAATAAAAAAGTCACCGTCATCCTCGTTGCCTCCAGCCGTGCCGACGTCTTGCCTGGCCGCACTCGGGAAAAGAATATTGGCCGGGGCCGGCGCGGCGCCGTCGTTCTCGTCGTCGTCGCCGTCCAACTTCGGAGTGTCATAGTCGACCAGCGGATTCTGCTTCAGGAACTCGGCGTCCGGAAGGAGTGGGGCCATTGGGTCGGCTGCAAAAAGGATCATATTGAACTCTAAATATTTCCAAGACGTTTAAAGTTCGAGGGAAGACAAGAAGTCAAAAAAATCATTTGATTTTTGAAAGTCTGTAACCTTGATAACCAATCTACTTCTAGCTCGAAAATTGAGACCAAAAACTCTAAAAATTTCTCAAGGTCTATGAAATTGGATGTAAATTTGAGTAAAAAGAGAGAAATTTAATTGGGAGGCACCATACACGATTTTCAAAGGAAAACTAAGCTTCTAAAAAAAAAAAATTCCAAACGTATTTTTTTCATAGTTTCACTTTATTATTCATGATCCTCAATTGATTGAAGCTTTTTTTCATAGAATTTAAGCTTTTTCTGAAAAATTCATGGCTATTCTTTTTTTCAACTCAAATTTGGGCTTAATTATAATCTCTCGATAAAAATTTAGTGAAGGTATAGATTTGGTTCTGATTATCCAAAAATTCATATCAAAAAGCTTCTCCAACATAATTATTTGAAAAAAATTGTTGATTCATTTATATTTTAAGACAAAATGACTCAAAAAACTGTCTTAAAAGAGTGAAACACTGCAAAAAAACCAGATATTTATAAATATCCAGAAAAATGTTAGTTAAATCCAAATTTTAAGTAGTTTTCACCTGCATCAAAAACACAAATCACTTGAAAAAAACGATATTGACCTAGCGAAAAACCCATCACCTGTCACATCCCAAAAAGAACTATCTATTTATTTTCGTTTTTTTCCTCTCAGAAAGCCGCCAAATTGTTTGTGAGAACGGAAAGAGAACTCTTCTTGGGAGTCAAAACGGCGCCCGATCGGCTCTCGGCTCAGCGGAGCATTTCCCGAGAAAGAGAAAACAGAACTGTTTCTGACGCAATCGGTCGCTGGACTCGAATTGGGCCGAAAAAATGAAAAAAAGAGAGATTTTAAGTACTGCACCACGGTATCTTTGAAAAGACAGGTGGAAAGTGCAAATTTGCGCGCGAAACGGATAATTTTTCTTTTTTAAGGCTTCTGAGAACCTTTTTCTACTCATAACTTTCAAAATATATCAGAGAAAATCAGATGAATTGAAAATGAAAAACCCCGACTTCTCATTTTAAGAATCATATAAAAATAAAACGTTGGGGAAAAATATATTCTCATTTTTTGGTCTCATTTTATACTTTCCTTTTCACTTCAGGCCCAACTTGGAGACGCTCCAGGACTGTCCAACCCCAAAAAGGACAGAAAAGAATCGAAAACACATTTTTTGAAAGACACAAAAAGTGCGATGCCCGCGAGAAACAATGGATATTTTCCAATTTCGTTAGAAAAGGTTCTGAGAAAGTTTTGGGCAAAAGAAAGGTCAAAAAAATCTAAATCTACAAGGTCTTCACAGAAATTTTTTTTGAACTCTTGTAAATTTCTTTGTGGAAAAGGTGCTAAAAAAAGGTCATAAAATCGTTAAAATATCCTTTTTCTTGTGAAAATGTTGCTACGAATTTTTTCAAAAGCTACTTCTCAAGGAGAAACAAAAATGATTATAATTCGAAAAATTCATTCAATATCTACTGATTCTAAAAGTAACCCAATCTTCCTATTCCCCGCTGGAAACAGTCCAAGGCCCAAAAAACCGACCAATCTGCGCTCCATCGGATTTGGCGCCAAGCTTATTGCAGAAATCGCTGAAGCACATGCAGTGCTTGCCCTTGCCGTCGGGCTCCAGCCAACAGCCGTCTTTTTGATTTTCCATCTTTGTTCCTACAATGATATTGAATTGTTATGTTTTTTTGTGTTGTGGAATGCAAAATCGTCGTAAATCTATACGAAATTTCGGCTTGTGCGCTCTATCGCACACTTTTTCCGCGCAAGACCTTTTTCAAGCCCTGCGTTGTTTTATCCCGAACTTTTTGGTAAGCAATTGATCGACACAATATTATGCAGAAAAAACATCAAGAACTAGTAGATGAACTAATAAAACCTATCCAAAAATGGAGAGGGAAAATCACCTTTCATTGCAAGGAGACAAAACGCCGACGCCGTCTTGTTGTCTCCAGCGTCAACTGAAAAAAAGAATCTAAAGTTTAGAATTTCAAGCCAAGTTCGCTAACAAATTTGAATAGTGGAATCTCATTTAGAAACCAAAAAAAAATCTAAAAACATCGATTCCAAAGCTCTTGGCTCGCTAAAAATCACTTCAGAAAGGCTGAAGCTGCCAAGTGTTCACTAGAAATGCTCGAAAAAAATTGGGGCGTGTCTGTAACAACAGTTCGAGCTCTCCATTTTTTTCTTTGTCATGGAGCCAATTTTCTTTCCTACCGAGTTCAATAAAAAGCCGTTTTTTTTTCTTATGTACTAAATTGAACATTCTGAAAAAAAATGGAAAAAAATCTTACTTATATAACTTTTTTCCGCTGTTCGTTGGCTCAACAGTAACGCAAATAAGAACAAGTTCAAAATTTTCAAAACAAGAAAAACTTGTTTTTGCGACTTGTGAGCCTTCAATACTACCTAAAAACTGGGTAAATCGAGGTTTTTGAAGCTTTATCATTAGGGAGAAATCGAATCTATCGCGAGGAAAATTTCCCCTAATCTGGAACCAGACTTTCAGCAAAGTTGCATCAAAAATGCCCTTATAAGCTCGTCAAATCTTTGAAAAACGAACACATCATGCAGGCGATTCCATGGCAAGAACGCTGTTCGGTGCATTCTTTGTGATCTGGCCCGGTTCCATAACAATCGAAGCATTTCAGAGCCGAAATCGTCAGCGGAAGAACGGCGGCAGAAATGAGAACAACTCGCAGTAATCTTGATCCGGACATCGCTGAAAAAATAGAAATAAAAAATGAACATTTATCATTGAAAACTAAGAAGAGTCAGGAACGCGATTTTCCTAGATAATTTCAAGGAATTTGAGGAAAGTCAAAAAAACAAAAAAAGAAATTAATACTTCTGGACATAAAATACTGTTACGTTCCGAATTTGAATAGAAAACTGCGGGAAAATGAAGTTTTCTGAAACAGAATTTGAAGATTTCTCAATTTTTAAACGGCGTTCTGAAAAAACAAGGTTAGGAATTAAAATCGAAAAACTAATGGCGTGGAAAAAGTAGTAAAAAAACAAGGAAAAACAAGATGGAAGAAGAAAAAAACTTCTAATTTAGCATTGACGAGAAAAAAACTTTAAATGAAATAAGACTTGAAAAAAAGAACTCTATAACTTCTTTCCATTTCTCAACTTTTTTCCATGAGAAAAATGATAAATTCAAAGTTTAATCCGAGATTCCTTCTTTCAAAATTAATTAGAAACAACTTTTTTAAAAGTTTCAAACGACCAAAAATCGAGAAAGAACCTACCAACTTCCTAATTTAGAATAGCGCTTCTAAAAGTTCAAAAAGTAGAATTTATGAAAAAGGTATTGGAAAAGAATGATTTTTCAAAGTTTTTCCCCTTGAAAAGATGTGAGGAAAAAAAGGTGATAGTCGGTCAGGGACAAAGGGAAGGAAGAGGGGCGACTAAGCCGAGGCGATGATCCGGCTCGGCTCTTGTCGGAACCTCGTATCTGGAGGGGGACACCTTTTTCGGAATGATTCCTGCAGTTTTTATGTGGGATGAAAATAGACGTGTTATCCTCTCAACACTGAAACTCATTTTTCACTTTGATGATTGGATATTTTCCTAAAAATTGACCAAAATCACTTCTAGTCGATTTTACGGTTAGGGTATACGATTTCAGGAAAACTCGCAGAAAAAAGGAAAATTTTTGAATTTTTTGAGCTACATTATTTAAAAAAATTCCATTTTTAATCAACGTTTATGCGGAAAGATTGAACAGAAATAACTTGAAATAATTTTGATCGATGAGTGAAGAAAAAACAAATTGGCTCAAGTCTCTTCAAGTCTGATCAAAGATCCCGAAAAAAAGTAGTTATTTCATTCAAAAATTCAGAAAAAAACAAAAATCATTCTTATCTTACTGATATAGTGTTTCTTTGTTCCGGAAAAACTTTGAGACGACTATAAAAAAAGTTGAAAAAAATCAATCCTGAAACTGTCTAGCTCGATTATTTCTAAATTTCGTTAGTCCTTCACAAAGCTGCGTTGATAAGTTTCAAAAAAGCTATCAATTATAAAAATGACTCGTGAGCAATGAATGAGACTGGAATGAAAAGAAAAAAGTCGGAAAACCATGACAACCGGCTGTTAATTTTCATTAATCTCATTTGACGTCAAAAGTCGTTTTTCTAGAAAAAATCGTTCATTGAGGATGAAAATTTGTATGTTTATTTTGAAGAAGAAAACCACTTTTTTATGATAAAAGCAGACATATTTTCCAAATTGGCCTGGGAAAAAAGGATAAAAATTCAAGGATGATCAGAAGAATGAAAAAAATTAAAAACTTTTTTTGGAGGGTTACAACTTTTCACTAGCTATTAGTTAGGCGCAGGCTTAGCCTGCGCCCTATTTAGGGATAAGTTCTAGTTTTGGGTTTTGAGTCTATGAGAAGCTTTGACTTAGCAGCCAGAACTTAAATAATTTTACAAATAAGGTCTCTATTTTTGAAAAAAAGGAATTTAATCAAGCTTAACCTAGAGTTAACTTAACCATTTCTCGAAACCTACAGCTTGATTTTAAAGGTCAATTTTTTGTGAAAACCTTAAAGAATGAAAACCTTTTTCGACTTGATTGATATGATCTTGAAAGAAAAATCAACTTAATCCTAAATGTTAAGCTTAATTTATAGTTACAAGGGGTCGAGCTTCACCTAGAACTAACCTAAGAAACCTAAACTTGATAAAATAAGAAAACATCACCTTTTCAAAAATATCACTTCCAAGCAGAAAACTTTGCTTCACCCTACAATACTCAAAATTTAACCAGGCTAATGAATAGTTGAAAGTGATTAAGCTTAACCTAGACCCAAGGAGGACAGAAGAAACACTCGGAAAGGAACGGAATGAAAGCCGCAAAACGATGAGAAATGAGACAGATTGGCGACTTCTCTCCACACTCCGCCTCTCCCTTCAAAAACCAACTCCTCCCATTGGGAAGGAGAAGAAAAAACGAAGAAGAAGAAGAAGAAACGGACGTCAGAAAAGCGCGAGGAGGACTGGGCGAACGGTTTTAGAAGGTCAAATAAACACTTTTGGGCTCGGCGAGCAGCGCAAAAAGAGAAAAAAAGAGAGAAGAAAATTCCTCGCCAAACGGTCGTTTCCAGCTGACCTTTTGTTGAAAAGTCATTCGGACCAAGAAACGGTTCGTGAAAAACGGTTGTTAGTGGGCTATTATTAGGGCAGAGAGACTAAATTTAACTCTACGGAATGTTTATTTATTGCAGTTGAAAAGAAGTTTTCTGGTTTGTTTTTATTTTCGAAAATTTTTTCCAGCTGATCCTCCAACTTACAATCCCTATGAAGCGATTAAAGAAATTTCTTAAGAAAGAAAATTTTAAAAATTTTATTTTCAGCTGCCTAGCTGATTGAACCGGGGATGAAAAAAGTTGATTTTTTCGAGAATTATCAATCAAATCCTCAAGATTTCGAGAAAAAGATAAATTTTCGGACAAACCTGATTTTTGCTAAAACAATTTTTCAACTTGCATCATGAAAATAACTTTCATTATTTTCAGAAAAAAAAACGTGGACAACTTTTTTTAAAAATTTCCACGCTTCGAGACTCATTTCAAATTTTTAAAAAAACCTTAAAAAAATTTTTGAGTCTGTTAGGGAGACGGCTTCTTTTGATTTAGTTTTTAATCTAAACGAATATTTTTTTAATAGTTGAGAAGTTTCTGGGAACATTATGACTTGTAACTTTTGAAAAATTGTGATATTAAGTTTCTCACGTAAAGCTTTACTTTAAGAAAAAATTAATTTTCGATTCAGTTATCTCTTTTTTTCACCCAGTTCATTATCAAATTTTTTTTTCTTCCCTTTTTTGCAGAATCTACAGCCTAGATGGCCATTTGCTAACTTCTTAGCCTCCAAAAGCGAGAAAAAATGGGCGGCAAAAAACCAAAGGAGCCCAATATGATTGACACACTGTCCAAATAGGAAACAAAAAGACGGCAGAGTGTGAGAAAAATGAATGGCGGGGGGCTGAATTTCCGGTTTGTGGTTGACCCGCGGCCTCAGCAAACCGTTGGACCATTGTTGCGAATAGAAAAAAATGCCCCGTTTTGAGATCACCTTTTGAGAGCGCCTGGGTTAACCGTTTTTGGAGAAAGCTCAAAAGAGCAAATCGGACGAAATTTCCACTTTAGTGGCTACTTAAAAGATCCCTAAAAAGCTAGACATAAAATTACTCGAAAAATATAGAAAGGGCTCGAAAACTCTGCACACCTTCATAGGTTAAATCTCAAAAGCGCAACTTTATAAAATTTTCTCTCAAGAGGCCATTCAAGTGGCTTTTAAAGGGGAACACTTCGAATTTTTCTTTTTTTTTAAGGATTACCTGGATCCGAGTACCTTTTTTACGTTTATAGGAGCTTCTAGAGCGCTTGAGTGGCCACTTATATTTATAAATTTGATTTCGGAATATGTAGCGTTCTTTTCAGCTTCTAAAAACAGTTCCTTGCATTTTTTTCCTTTAAGGGACTACTTATAAAAATTAGCCGAAAAGAACCTAGTGAAATTTATAATTCAAAATTGCAAAAAATTTTTTCTGATAACCAACTGATTTTTCTCTTCTCACAAGTTCTAGCCTAAACCTCTCTAACTTGTAAATCCCTTTTTTTCCGATGCGAAAACCTAAATTTCGTCTCCCATAAATCCAAAAGATGAATGGAAACAACCGCCGCCACCACTGATAATCCCAATCATTAATCAAAATGAAAACGGCGGGAAAAACGGGAGAAGAAAAGATGTTTTGACCTTCATAATGGCGCCAGATGGGTATGACTTGGGAAACGATGTGAAAAGTTCGTCTTTCGAGAACCATGTCCGATTCAATTAGGACCAAATTGAAATGTCCCAAAAAAAACGGGAAGAAGGAAAACTAAAGACGGTGGGAAACTGAGGACAGAAAAGTGATAAAGTCGGAAATATCTGATGAATTTTTGGGTGATCATTCTTGGGTATATGGTGTCGAATAAAAAAATTTTAGCTTGAAAAATTCAAAAAAATCACATTTTTTTCCCGTGCAGATTGTCTTATAATTTGATGAATTGCGCTCATTTTCATCAAAAAATTTTTTGAAACTTACTTAAAAATTAACAAATTTTGAACCTAAATAATAATAAGTCGACGATTTTTCTCTCCTAATGATTTAGAAATCAACATGGGGTTTAATTATCAATAGAGCGCATTTTCTCGGAAGAAATAGCTTTAAAAAAAAAAATGCAAAATTGGGCCCTTCATCGAGGATAATAGAAAAAAAGGCTATCAAGGCCTGAAAAATTAACTGAAAATCGAGATAAAAAAAGACGAAAAAAATGAACATTTCGCCTCAAAATTTGTACTAAATCTTCTTTAAACTCTGAAAAAAATCAAAAACAAGGTTCAAATAAAGACGTATAAATAGTAGAAAACCCGCAAATTGTCTCAAAATTCACAAAAAATTGAAAACTCGCCAAATAATCACCTGAGCTTTTCGTTCCGAATGAAAAATTGCATCGAGACACAGACAATTTTTTTTCTCTAGTCCAAAAAAAACCAATTCCCGAACCAGTCCGCAGAAAATCGTACCAGTTCTTCCCAACCGCGGCTAATTTGATTCAATTATAGGTGGTCTCAAAATTTTGTTTCCCTGAACTTTTCTCGGAACCAATTTTTTTCAAAGTTTCGAAAAGGCGATGGGAAAAAATAGCCATGAAAAGAGCGCC